TGAGGAGAATGAGGAGGTAATGGCATGGTCCTTCTCTTAGAAGAACACACGTGTACACGCGCGCACACACACTCCTCCCCCGCCCCCCCAGATGGTCTCAAGACCTTTGGGTGTCAAGTGCAAGCTCCTTGTATTCCTGTCGTGACTGGGAAGAGCCTAGAATGGGGTGGGACTGGTTCTTAACTCTAGGAGAAAAGAGGGGATTGATAAAGCTTCTCTGTTGCAGATTGAGGACCTGTCCGACGCAGCCTTCGCCGCCCTACATGCCAAATGTGAGGAGATGGAGAGGGCACGGTGGCTGTGGACCACAAGTGTGCCACCCCAGCGGCGAGGCAGCAGGTGATGGGGCAGGCATGGGTCCCCAGGGCCTGTGGAGTGAGGGTAGACAGGGAGTTCGGGCCCTACCTGAGTCTGTGGAATTGCTGCTGTCTCTTGGTTGGTCATCATATTCATCTACTGGCAGCGGGAAAGTGCTCAGAAGTTCCTTGGTGTTTGTTGGAACTAGTGGAGGTATAAGGAGCCAAGTGCTAGATCCTTGCTGAGGAGTCACCGTTCAATTCTGATAAATTCCCGTGATGTGTGCCAGTTGGGGGGTCATGGTAATTCAACCAGGGGAGCTTGGAAGGCCCCACTACAAGTTAACCTTCCTTTGGACAGTGGGCAGTGGCTTTGTGATGCCACTTGAAGGAACTGTCCCCCTTAGGTCCATCACTACCCAATCTCCATTTATTGTTAACAGTGGCAGAAACCCTCGGGATTCTCAAGTAGAAAGTTTTAGGGGCTCTTATTTTTACTTTTTTTTCTTTGACTACAGTTTTCAAAGTCTGCTAATCTCCCTAACCTCCTGAATTCAGTAGGCACTTTGATAGGGACTCTCCTTGGCATTGTTCAGCCATGGTTTTTTCTTGGGATGGTGGAAGTTTTATACCTACCCCTCCAGAGAGTAGTGGGAAGAATGGAATTGCTGGATCCTAAGGAAAATCTGTTAGTCTTCATTCACATCAGCCCCTTCAGTAGGGATGCTTTTTTCATGCCCTCTACCCCCATAAACAAACATATTTCCCAGGCACTCAGATTTGCATTCCTTGGTGTATAGGTCCTACAGGTCATCAGACGGCCGGACAACGCCCCAGCTGGGCAGTGCCAACCCCTCCACCCCCCAGCCTGCCTCCCCTGATGTCAGCAGTAGCCACTCTTTGTTGGAATACACCCATGGCCAGTCCCCTAGGAGCCCCATTAGCCCGGAACTGCACTCTGCACCCCTCACGCCTATGGCTCGGGACACTCCGAGACACTTAGCCAGTGAGGATACCCGTTGTTCCACGCCAGAGCTGGGGCTGGATGAACAGGTAAGGGACACAGCCTTTGTGTGGGGTTGGTGTGGTTAGAGATGGAACCAGGTAAGGACAGCACCTGCTAAAGAGGGATCTACATCATAAGCCATCTCCTCCTCCCTTTTGAAGGGACAAGGGGCTGCACTTAAATTGACCTCCTCAGCATCCAGTGGAACTGTACTGATCATTGTTAAAAAGGTTCCCACCCTATGAGGGGTGTTCCCCGACTACCTGGGGAACTCTAGATAATCTAGACTGGTCCTAGGCTCCAGGCCACAAGGTTTATGGCAGGGCCTTGGAGCAGGAAGCAGGCTGGCTGCAACTGGGTCCTCACAGAGCAACTTGTCTGCCTACAGTCTGTTCAGCCCTGGGAACGGCGGACCTTCCCCCTGGCGCACAGTCCCCAGGCAGAGTGTGAGGACCAGCTGGATGCACAGGAGCGAGCAGCCCGCTGTACTCGGCGCACCTCAGGCAGCAAGACTGGCCGGGAGACCGAGGCGGCACCCACCTCACCTCCCACCGTCCCCCTCAAGAGTCGGCATCTGGCAGTAGCAGCCACAGCTCAGCGCCCGACTCACAGATGAGCGGGAGACAAGAATCTAAACAGACTCACTAACTATTGGCATTAAAGCTTCAGAAATCTCTGCGTTTGATATTCAAACATCATATGCCGGAAATTTTCACAGTTTTTAGTGAACTTAAGGAACTTAGATCCTACTTTGGTATTTTTTTTTTCCTTGTTTTAATTTTTGCTTTTTTGTTTCCATGTTTTCTTGTCACACACCTGAGCACTTCCTCCCATTGGCAAACCAGAAGTTCAGGATGAGACCCTGCTGGCCTGGTCCTGGCATATCCTCTGCACTGTTGAATCACTGGACTTACTGATCTTAGATGACCACCCCCTCCTTCGTACCTGTGGGCAGGGCGGACCAGCCTGGCGGGCAGAGCGCTCCAGTTGAGCATGGCCTTCTTGAGCTAGGGTGGGATGGGGCAGGGTGCTCTGGGCTCTTACCTCTCCCCTTCCACCTGTGGCTTGACTCAGCTGTGGCCCTCCTGGCTGGGTCCCCCTTGGTTTTTCGTGCTGGAGCACCCCCACCAGCTGTTCTCACCAAGTGCTCAGCCAGCAGAGCAGCTTCCCCTAGACCTATTTTTGTTTCCTCTGCATTTGGTCTTCTCCGTTTTGACTCCTTAACTGCAGTAACCTGGCTGTGGCTGCTCAGGTTCTCCTCATCCTGCTCCTTGGCCCCCTTCCCTATCTGCTCCCCCATGCCACATACATACCCACAACCTGTCCTTCCAGTCAGAATGTCTTTACCATCTGTCCTGATCTTTGAAGGTAGGGCTAGGACTACTTAACCTCTAGTCTCACTCCTCCGAAAACTGGGGGTTGTGGGAAGTGAGCAGCCATCTCCCTGTGTGATTTTTTTTTTCTCTGATTGACGTTGCCATGTTTCCTTCACACCCAGATCCCTGTCGGTGTTGATTCCACTCAGTCTTTTCATGCTCCCCTTGCCTGTGGAACATTGTCTGGTCCTAGCTGTGGTTCCCATTGTCCCCTCTTCACCCTTCTCTGTTAACCTTGTGCCTGTCTCCTGTATGATCACATCACCAAAAAGGGGGAGGGGGGAGAAGACTTTTTTTTTTTTTTTGGCCATTTTGTAATCGTATAAAAATAGTAGACAACTGCTTAATGGTTGGGGTTTTTTCACAATTTTCAACATTAGTGATTTTTTTTTTCTGTTTGCAAGTTAAAGGGTTTGTCATTGTTTCTTTTTAAAAAATACAATAATGCACCATATCCCTATGCATAAAGTGCTTCTTCTATTTATAAGGTTGAGAATTCTGAATAACCCTTTTAGCATTGAAAAAAAGAAAAAGAAAAAAAAAACCTTGTATTTTGTAAATATTTTCTTTTCCTGCTTTGGAGCTGTGTAATGGCAGCGAAACATGTAGCTGTCTTTGTTCTATAGAAATGCTTTTCTTCAGAGAAGCTGATCTTTGTTAATGTCTTGATTCTGTTCGCAAAGCACAGACTAGTGCTTAAAAAAAAAAGAAGGAAAAATTGAAAAAAATAATAAAAAAAAGTTACAGAACATTGTGTACCAGGCCTTCCTGGGCTTACTGAACTGGGTGTGCATGGTAGCATTGGCAGCTTTGGAGCTGGCTCTCTGGCGCCATTCTTTGGGGTACTCTGACTTGCTTATTTATACCTTGGAAAATCTCCATTCTGTCTTGTGGGAACACTGCAGATTCATCTCGTGGCCACCAGAGAGAGGATGATGATGGCTTTTAACTGAGGGTAAGGAGTGCCAGGAGGAGAGGCGATCTGCACTGATTATCTCCATTTTCTTTTTGTTGCGTGAAAATGGTTAACCTACTGTCTCTTGATGTTCCTTCTAGTGCGGTCAGCCACCTAATATTGTGTATCTATTCTAAATTACTCTTTAAAGGAGATTTTGGTTCTCACCTTTAAATTTTTCTGAGGTTTGGTGGGGGTTGGTGAGATACCTAATTTGCATAGTGCCTGAATTGGTTCTTACCTGCTGAGATTATAGCATCTTTCTTCTGAGGAGGCCATGTGCTTGATTCTCTTTTTTGAGGTGGGGTTTTGCTCAGTTGCCCAGGCTTGAGTGCAGTGGCACAATCTTGGCTCACTGCAGCCTGGATCTGTTGGGCTTATGAGATCCTCCCACCTCAGCTTCCCCAGTAGTTAAGACTATAGACATGTGCCACCATGCCCAGCTAATAATTCTTTTTTTGGGAGGGGGGTGGGGGGGGGGGCAGAGACTATGTCTCACTTTGTAGCCGAGGCTGGTGGGTGCTTTTCTTTGTACAAGATGAATAAGTGGGCGCGGCTGGTTCTCTACTCTCTTCTTTGCATGGCAGTCAAGCGGAAACAGTGAGGCTCTCTTGTGGCTCTGAAAGCCATGCTTTCTAAGATAGCATTTCTCTCTCTTTTGCTGGCCTGTTGCTGCTTCTGTAGTTGCAGTTAAAATCTGCTGTACCTACTAAGCATCTGCCTGCAGTGGCAGACACATCAGAAGAGCAAGAAAAGTAATATTTTGAAACTGAGAATCTAAAGATTCAATGTCATGACCTTGGCATAGTTACTAAGGAATAATATGATGGATTACTGTTTTGTTTCTTTGTAACATTGTTAGGAAGATGCTATCTGGTATCCCTATCTTGGTTTAGTAGAAATATTCTTCAATCTATCATAAGGCACGAAAGGAAAGAAGGCAGCTCTCAACCTAGCAGGAATCTAAGCCATTTATTTAGCTAATTAATTGGCTTGGTGTTCTGCTCCAGCCCCAGGCCTCCAGACTAAATTTCCAGGGACGAAAGCTGTTACATCCTCATCCCCAACCTTCTCAGGTTTGCATACACTGGCTCGCAGCATTGTGAGGTCAGCCGCAAGGCACTGTATTGCCCTGTGACTTGGACTAGGATGGTTTGCCAGCACCACAATGAGAATCAACTGCAAATGAACAAGTCTGAGAACTCCCACCTTCAGCACTCCAGAGAGAGCTGTTAATCCTCATGTCCAGCTTTTAATAGTCATTTCCTGTTTTGAGCTAAGTTCTCTAAGGGTGGGTAGGAAAGAACTTAAAAAACATACATTCTGTATCACTTTCTTGTCCTTGGAGTCCATGAATGGAGACCTTATTTAATCAGAGTAATAACTTTATTTCCAAATTCACTTTTACAGCAACAGTCAGTGTAAATCATTTGTTAAAACACAATACACTATATGGACATTCACAGACAGGAAGCTAAGCTAAGATGATTTTATGTCCCTCCCCCCACCCTCAAAATTACCAAAGAAATCATGGGACTTGCAAGTGCCAGAAATTGTCCTGCTCAACACTGCAAACATTTATGGGGCTAAGTCTTATTAGGAGGTGAGACTCTAGGCCAGTGCCCAGGGTAACCCTTTTCAAAGCTGAAGATAAATCAGAAGTCTGAAGCCAAAGGTCTGTAGATGGGACACGATGGTGATCACCTCTGCCCTTGCCCCGACCTCATGGCTTTGCTTGGAGAACTAAGATGAGGAGGGTGAAGTGAGTGATCTCAGCTGCCAGAAGCACAGACTGTGTGTCTGGAGCCAGTGTGAGAGGTGGCACAGAGGTGTCAATGGCTTACAGGGAAGGATGCCATGGTCTTAAGGAGGCATGATTGTGGTCTTAGGACCCCCTAAAAGAGGGCAGTAGGCCAAAGCAACCAGATGTCCATATTCCTACACAAGCCTTTCTACCTGCACTTTGCTGGGGAGGGAATGGGGAACTAGCCAGCTGTCTGGGAAAGCCTGTTGGTGGAAAAGAGAAGCCCCAAGGACCTCTGACCCCATGGCAGCTCCCTCCCTCTAGAAAATGTGGTTGAAACCATGAAAAGGGTTACGAGGCAGTATAAGTGCTGCACCCCAAGATCTCCCTTTGCCCATGTTAACTATCTTACACATTCCTCCCCCCTCCCCCCATAGCACAACAAGCAATAGCAAACAGGATACAGTCTCACCATTAAAGTCAATTTAAATGGAACTATTGATAATTGAGTTGACAGCTTGAAGGAGCCAGGCATACAGCATATCCTATCTAGCCCACCCAAGGACGCTGGCTCTGCAGGTGGAAGAAATAAGGGGAAGGGAGGAGTGCCTAGCCCTGAGGGGGATTGTCCTCGTTTAAGGTCACAAGCCAGCGTGCCTTTGCAATTTATTTGCCAGCACTGATCACACTAAACCATGATCTTAGGCTGGACCCAACAGCCTGCCCCACAAGGGGAAGATTCCAGAGGCCTCCATATAAGGCCTACGGTGCTGAAGATGAAGAGCAGGGCATACGAACTTCAGGACGACGAACTGAGGTACGGGAAGAAACGCAGCCAAAACTGTTGGCAGTATTGAGGGGGGCATGTCTCTACCCACCACCAGATCTCTACCCCACAATTCCTCCTTTTTAGATCCCTTCGCTTATGAGAATTGTTGGGACTCAGCAAACTGCAGGGAGACTCCTGGTGGAGAGTTCTGGGCACAGAGACTTCTTTACAAGGAAAGCTCTAGCTGCACATGAAGCTGCCAGCCCTCATGGAGGCCCTGGGCTCCCAAGTCCCTCAGAGTTGCCTTTAACTGTACCCAAACCAGAAGTGGCAGAATTGGGCCCGAGGCTGCTGAGTTTCTTCAGGCAGCAATTTTCTGCAAAGGCGGCTTCCCTGTTTTCATGGGTGCAGATGGAGTTTGTGCAAGGTCAGCGGGCTGAGGGTGCTCTGGTCCAGGCTTTGGGAACAGTGTCTCCTGACTTGTCATCCTTCCTCGGGCAGGCAGCTCGGGCCTCTGGAGCAGATCCAGGACAATTCTTCCCAATCTCTGCTGTGGCCGCAGGGCCCTTGGTGGGAGGCTGGGCTGCCCCTTGGAGAGCAAGCTTGGAGAGGAACCAGTCTGAGGGGTGGACTGAGGCTCACGGAGCTTCTGGGGGCTGCAGATCCCCCCAACTGGCACTGGCTTCATTTTTCTTGTGATGCAGGAGGTGGGACTTCAGGCTTTGACCAGAGAGAACCATCTTCATGCTGCGAGCCAGGCCAGCCACGAGGCCTTCTCTCTGCCCTGACAGAGAGCAGTGAGGGGGAGTCGGGAGGGGGACACCATCGCTTCTGTCCTAATCCTGTGCTTCAGGCCTTCACAGCTGAAGGGCCTCCTTCGATGCTAGAATCTGGTCTCTGTTGGGTCCCAGATGCTGATGAAAGCCTTATCAAACTTGGGATGCCCCAGCAGGGTGGAGCCACACTGGCCTCCTGGAGCTGAGTCCCAGTATGGGGGTGAGAGACACCTTGTGAGGGTGGGTTAGAAACCTCTTTACAAGCATTTCAAGATACATGCGTCCTTTTTTTTTTTTTTTCTTTTCACTATCATAGTCACTCTGGTGAATCCAAGCATAAACAGACAAATCCAACTACAACGCAACAGGGTACAGACGGGGAGGGCAGGGCGACATCTATGTATATGTTCAGCTGCTCCAGCAGGACAGACAGCATGGCTTCCAGCTGGGACTGGGGGGGGAAGAACCATTTCCGAGGGGTCGTGTTCCCCTTTTTGGGGGTGTGGAGGGCTGATTCTATGCATGTGAAGCTGAGCAGCTGCTGGGCTGTCTGGGAGGCTGGCAGCCACAAGCTGGGGTAGAAGCGGGAGACAGCGGGACCGTGGGCCTGCCCTGGTGCCTTGCCCACCTGTCCTAGTGCCATCACTGACAACCAGGACACCTAGCCTCCTGCTGCCAGCTCAGCACAGGAAGGGGCCAGGCCCTCTGGGGGCAAAGGGCTCTCTCCATATCAACAAGGCAGAAACATCTAGGGTCACAGCTGAGCAGTGCCCTGGCTCACATCTGTGACAGGAGGAGAAGGCAGGGAACGGAATCAGTCATGAGATTCATGGTGAGGGGCACACCAGTTGGATGACTGGCACTGAGAGTGAGAGGCTGGGGTTCCACTCTTGTGCCTGGACTTTGCCTTCCCTTAATTTTGCCCTCAGTATGGAGTAGGTACCTCCCACAGCCAACCAGGGTCATTACTGATAAGTGGGTGGTGAGGCTGGGAATTCGGGACATGGTGACATGATGCAGGGTACAGGCAGTGACTGGGCTCTCACGGCAGACAGTGGCACGGCGGGGCAGACGGGTGATGGCAGTGGCCATGGGAAGGACAGGAGGCTTGGGACCCACTTCCCAGACCCCTGTACACTCTAGAGATGCCAGTGGCCCAGGCTTGGAAACGGATGGACGTCTCCCAAGAGGCACAAGTCCTTACAAAGAGAACTGGTTAGCCCTAAAGTCCCAGGTCTGTGAGGTGGCCAAAATCGTGGCTGCAGTTCCAACCTTCAGAACTCAATAAAACAGGGTTTTGTGGAGCAGAGGGAAGTCCCTCAGCTCAACCCCCGCCCCCCCTACCCCCACAGAGAGGGAGGAAGAGGCCAGCGCCCTCAGACGGCAAGGTCAGTCTTCCCCAAAGGAAATCATCCATGGGGCACCACCCTCCGGCTGGCCTGCTTTCTCTTGCCTGCTGTCCCTTCTCCCACAGGCTGCCCAGCAGAGGGTGGCACACTGACCCGTAGCAGGCCCCAGCCACAAAGGACAGGCACCACTCCGTCTGAGATGCTGCAGGCATCGTGGCACGGAGGGGGGCAGCATCTCCTCTCCACCACGTGGCTTCCTCTCCCCTTTGCCCAGCCCCTGCCTCTGCCTCCCACCCCACCCCCCCATCACACTCACACAAGGCTGACATCATCTGCCTGTGGCTCCACAAACACACCAAGTTTCAAATCCTTTGTTGCTGCCACTGCCTCTGTAACACCCCCTGGATTGGGCCAGAGGTGGTGGACACCTCCAGTCCCTTGAAATCCCCCAGAAGCAGCTTTCAGAGCCTCTCCTCCTCCCTCTTCTACACAGGGAGGGGGGGAAATCAAAAGGAATTGCCCTAGGAAATGTTGGGTGTGGCCATGTTTTTGAGTGTTTTTCTTAAAAATATTAGCCCACCCATCAATTTGGAAATATGAAATTTGCTTTTATTCCCACCACTGATTTTGAAGTCCCGAGCCAAAGCCGAGCAACAAAAGCAGGTTAAGTGATTAACCGATTAACCGAACTGCAAGGAGCAGCTGGGGGCAGAGGGTGGGGGCCGGGTCATTATTCTTTTTTTTTCCACACACTCTCACTCACTCTCCTCTCCACGATTACTGACCGCCCCGGGGGCCTGATCACAAACCCTGCTTGGCCAGGGAGGCGGACACCTCGTCAGCTAGTGTGGCGAGCTGGGCCGAGTCTGCCATGTCAATGCTGCCGGTGGAGGAGACGTTGCTGAGGTGCCGTGGAGACGTGTCCCCAGACACCACTGGAGACTTGTACACGATTTCTGCCCCGTGGTCTGTCTTGGCTTTGGCGTTCTCACGGAAGGTCAGCTTGTGGGTTTCAATCTGCAAGGAGAAGAGGGAGGGAGGGATGGTGAGATAAAGTACCAGAGAAAGGGAGACAAGCCCTGCCAACTGTCTCGCCAGGTCTGGCCCACAGTGCCAAGGACTGGTTTTGTTTTTGTAACAGGGTCTTGCTCTGTCTCCCAGGCTGGAGTATAGTGGCGCAATCTCACCTCACTGCAGCCTCTACCTTCTGGGCTCAGGTGATTCTCCCACCTCAGTCTCCCGAGTAGCTGGGATTACAGGCATGCACAACCATGCCCAGCTAGTTTTTTGTATTTTTAACAGAGATGGTGTTTCACTATGTTGCCCAGGCTGGTCTCAAACTCCTGGACTCAAGTAATCCACCTGACTCGGCCTCCCAGAGTGCTGGCATTACAGGTGTGAGCCACCACACCTGGCCAGGAGCTGTTTTTAGTGTTTTCCAAATGGTAATACCTGTGCCCACTCCTCCCCTGACCTGCCTCCCAGGCACCCAGATACCCTCCCCAGAGACAGTGATCATTTTCCGTTCCTTGTGGATCCTCTAGAGATATTTCATATATAAACACATGTATGAGTGCATATATACACAGGCTGCTTAGTATTCCATCCCCGTGGATGTACCAAAAGGCATCTACTCTGTGGCTGGACGTTTAGGCTGCTCTTGCCTTTAGTGATTACAGGCAATGGTGTGTATGAACATGTCACACACATGTAAGTGGATCCTAGAAGTGGAGCTGTTAGGTCAAAAGGCATGCACATTTTGAGACATACCGCCAGATTGCAAAGGAAAATGTGGAAGGAGAAGCTGGAGAAAATCAAGGATGTCTCCCAGAGCTACCGATGCTCAGACATAAGCCACACACATTCCTCCTGCTTGCCAGTGACTGATGAGTTTGGAGGTGGCAGCAACTGTGGGCAGTGCTGGCAGGCAGGCCGCAAAACATGACGTGACAAAGGACTGTTGGTGGGTGGGTGGGTGTATGATTTAGGATGGGGATTGTCTAGTGACTTATCTATCCATCTATCCATCCATCCGTCTGTCTGTCTGTCATCCACCTATCTACTTGGAGATGGGGATCTCACTATATTGCCCAGGCTGGCATCAAATTCCTGGGCTCAAGCAATCTTCCCACCTTAACCTCCTGAGCAGCTGGGACTACAGGTTCATGCCATCATCATGCCTGGCTGAAGCCCTTTTGAAAGTAGACAAACATGACATAGCCAGGAGTCCCAAAGAATACCAGGAAACTCAGAAGCAGAAAGCATTCGCTGGAGAAGTGAGTAGTGCCTAATAATTCCTGATAACCCTGAAGTGGCCAACATTCTCACTCTTCTTTGAGCATCTGGTAAAACCAAACCTATGTGTGCAATGTCCACCTACGCTCACTCACACATTGCCATTTTCATATAATTTTAGGAATCCATGGATGTGGGGTGAAGGCATCCTAATGCAGGGGGCTTGAGTGGGCATAAAGAAAAACGAGGGTCCCATTTAAGCTAGATGCGTATTTTGTTCGTTTCGGGTCACTACTTTGAAAAAAGGATTTTTCTGTATTACTGTTTTTTTGTTTGTTTTGGGGACAAAGTTTCACTCTTGTCACCCAGGCTGGAGTACAATGGTGTGATCTTGGCTCACTGCAACCTCAGCCTCCTGGGATCACATGATTCTCTTGCTTCAGCCTTGTAGCTGGGATTACAGGCATGCATCACCACGCCCTGCTAATGTTTATATTTTCAGTAGAGACGGGGTTCTGCCGCGTTGGCCAAGCTGGTCTCAAACTCCTGATTTCAACTGATCCACTCACCTTGGCCTCCCAAAGTGCTGGGGTTACAGGCATGAGACACTGCCTGGCCTGTTACTGTATTTTCTTGGAAGACTATTTAATACAGGCTTTAATATTTGTGTTAATGTTTTTTGAAATGTTTTTAAAGAAAAAAGTGACATTCCTTGGAATGTCCAAAAATCCCACAAACTGAAAAGAACCCAGGAGGCTGGTGGTGTGCCCCACCGTTAGGAATTTTGCTCCGCACACGGGGAAAATAGGGACCAACACTGCAGGGATCCCCGGGACCAGGATGGGGTTTTCTGAGTAGGGGGCAGGACCCTGCCCATCCTTCCTGAGCCATCGCATGGACAAGTCAGAAGGAACCAAGAAGCTGAGACTCAACGTGTTCTTAGAGGACTGCAACACACCAGGAACCTTCCAGAACACTGTCTTTTTTGGGTCTTATAGCCACCCTGGGACATAGGTACAGCATTTCCATTCCATTTTGCTGCAGGAGAAACAGGCTGAGAGAAGATCTGTGGTTCTTGACTCCCCAAGCAGAGTCAAGCCCAGAGCTTTTCCTAACACAAAGAAGCTTTCAGAGACTGCCGGGGGCCTCCCTTCACCCAGGGAATCACCAATGCCCAGGCCCTATCCAGACCCACTCAGTCACACTGAGGTATCTTTAAAGTGCCCCGAGGCTAGGAGGTCCTGCCTTAGACCAGGGGAGGCCTGGGTGGTGGAAAAGCGGAGAACCTTACTGCTTCCCCAGATAACTGGGCCCAACCCTCATCCCTTGAGGCGGGCAGCCTCCTGGTCCATCTTTGTGTCTCATTTTGCATAGCGAGCCAGGCGCTGAAAAGTGTCCCTGTGTCCTGTGTTGGCAGAGGCATGACCCGAGAGCTTGCGGCCAGCTACGGGCCAGTGCCCTCTCCTGCCTCGGGGCCTGTCTGGAGGTGAGGTCTGCCCCAGGCCACAGTTTGCAGCATCTGCTGGAAGGCTGTATTAGCAAACGCTTCTCACAAAACTACATTGTTAGATATTTATCATGAACACAAAATGGGAGTGCCCATCTGTTCAGAACCAGATGCAGTGGCAAGAAGGCAAGAGGGGAGGGTGGGGACTGGCCAGGGCAGGGGCTCAGCTGCCACTCCACTGGCCTGGTGGAAAGATGGCCTGACTGCCACTTCCACCCAACTGGGCCACCTTGAGAAGCATACTTCCTCACGCCGAGTTGGGTTTCAGATCCTACACCCCTTCTGAGATATCCTTGCTATGGTTTGGCTGTGTCCCCACCCAAGTCTCAACTTGAATTGTAGTTCCCATAGTTCCTACATATTGTGGGTGGGACCCAGTGGGAGATAATTGAATCATGTGCGGGGTGGGGGGGTCTTTCCTGTGCTATTCTCGTGACAGTAAGTCTCCCGAGATCTGATGGTTTTATAAAGGGAGTCCCCCGCACAAGCTCCCTTCTCTTGTCTGCTGCCACATGAGACATGCCTTTCACCTTCCCCCACGATTGTAAGGCCTCCCCAGCCACGTGGAACTGAGTCCATCAGAACCCTTTCTTTTGTAAACTGCCCAGTGTTGGATGTGTCTTCATCAGCTGCGTGAAAACGGACTAATAGAATCCCTTTTCCCTCTAAAAATTCCCAGTCAGGTGCTGGGAGATCCTGAAGGTTAGAAGAAAGTGAGCCACTCCCAGCACTTCAGGCAGGGTATAGGCAGGAAACCCCAGAGGGTGCTTGGGCCACACTTCTGCAGAGGAGAAACAGCAGCTACCAGACCACATCCTGTGCCAGGCCCAGACAGAGCTCGCCCAGCGCCACGCATACCCTCACCGCACACGGACACCCACAGCAAGACCTGGAGACGGGAAGCTGCTGGGGACACCAAGGCCCAGCAGCCTGGTGTGGACACTTCCACGACAGAGAGCCAGAGCCTTTGCTGAACTCAGGATTTCAGCATCATGGTTTTGCTCTAAGTGCCTAGTAACCCATTTAGAAAATTAGGTTATGTTCCCATGACTTGTTCGTGGCACACCACAGCTGACTGGGGATGTCCACTTCCTTTTTTAGTTGCCTGCAAACATCAGGGCCTAGGACAGTGGTTCTTTTTTTTTTTTTTTTTTGAGATGGAGTTTCACTCTGTTGCCCAGGCTGGAGTGCAGTGGCATGATCTAGGCTCACTGCAACCTCCGCCTCCCAGGTTCAAGCGATTCTCATGCTTCAGCCTCCCCAGTAGCTGGGATTATAGCTGTGAACCATCACACCCAGCTGGCTTTTGTGTTTTTAGTGAAGTTGGGGCTTTACCATGTTGGGCAGGCTGGTCTTGAACTCCTGACTTCAAGTCATCTGCCCCCTCGACCTCCCAAGGCGCTGGGATTATAGGCATGAGCTACTGTGCCCGGCCAGTTCTCACTTTTGACTGCATTAAAGAATCACCTGGGAGCTTTAAAAACTCCAGTGACAGGTTGAGCACAGTGGCTCACACCTGTAATCCCAGCATCTTGGGAGGCTGAGGTGGGCACATCACTTGACCTCAGGAGTTCAAGACGAGCGTGGGCAACATGGTGAAATCCCATCTCCACAGGAAATACAAAACATTTAGCCAGATAGTGGCAGATGCCTATAGTTCCAGCTACTCGGGAGGCTAAGGTGGGAGGATTACCTGAGCCAGGGAGGCAAACACTGCAGTGAGCTGAGATCACGCCATGCACTCCAGCCTGGGCAACAGAATGGGACTGATACGGTTTGGCTGTGCCCCCACCTAAATCTTGAATTATAGCTCCCATAATTCCATGTGTTGTGGGAGGGACCCAGTGGGAAGTAACTGAATCATGGGTGTGGGTTTTCCCATGCTGTTTGCAGGATAGTGAATAAGTCTCATGAGGTCTAATGGTTTTATAAAGGGCAGTTCCCCTGCACACACTCCCTTGCCTGCCACCATGTAAGATGTGCCTTTGCTTCTCCTTTGCCTTCTGCCATGATTGTGAGGCCCCCTCAGCCATGTGGAACCATGAGTCCATTAAACCTTTTTCCTTTATAAATTACCAGTCTATTCGGGCGCAGTGGCTCATGCCTATAATCCCAGCACTTTGGGAGGCTAAGGTGGGCAGATCACCTGAGGTCGGGAGTTAGAGACTAGCCTGACCAACATGAAGAAACCCCATGTCTACTAAAAATACAAAATTAGCCAGGTCTGGTGGTGCATGCCTGTAATCCCAGCTACTTGGGAGGTTGAGGCAAGAGAATCTCTTGTTGAATCCAGGAGGCAGAGGTTGTGGTGAACTGAGATCATGCCATTGCACTCCAGTCTGGGCAACAAGAACGAAACTGTCTCAAGAAAAAAAAAATTACCAGGTCTTGGGTATGTCTTCATTAGTAGCATGAGAGCAGACTAATACAGAGACCCTGCTTCAAATACATAAAAACAAAAACAGACCAGGCGCAGTGGCTCATGCCTGTAATCCCAGAACTTTGGGAGGCTGTGGTGGGAGGATCATGAGGTCAAGAGATTGCGACCATCCTGGTCAACATGGTGAGACCCTGTCTCTACTAAAAATACAAAAATTAACTGGGCCTGGTGGTACATACCTGTAGTCCCAGCTACTGGGGAGGCTGAGGCAGGAGAATCACTTGAACTGGAGAGGTGGAGGTTGCAGTGAGCCAAGATTGTGCCACTGCACTCCAGCCAGGGCGACAGAGTGAGACTCCATCTCAAAAATAAATAAATACATAATAAAATTAAATAAAACACTCCAGCAAGTGAGCTGCACCTGAGACCAATTGGTCAGCCTCTCCAGGTTGACCAGGTGTGAGATGTGCTAAAGCTCCCAGGTGATTGAGATGGGCGGGCAGTCGAGACCCACTGGATGCTGCTACGAGCCCACATCCAGCCAGTCAACACAGAAGCCTGTTTCCTCCTCTGGTAACTGGACCAGCCTTTGTCCACTCGACGTGATTGATGCCCATACCCAAGTGCAGCCTCTGATCCGCCCTGCCCCCTTTACCTTTTTATTCCCTCCACCAGGGACGTGTGTGATATTGTCCAGGGACCCGATCTTTGACTGGACTCTGTCCTTGAAGTCCAGCTTCTCAGATTTTACTTCCACCTGGCCACCTCCTGGAACAGAAGACACACAAGAGCATCTTGCCATCATCTTCTGTGGTTTCGTGGACTTAGCATCCATTACATGAGGACTGCAGTCTACAGGGCAAAATGCCAGGGGCTGCAGGAGCACAGCACAAGTTAGATGAGGTGCCGCTGCTCTGGAGGGAGAAGACAATGACGGGACTTTCGGGTTTGCAGCAGGACTTGAACCAGGGCCAAGAAAGTGGTTCCAAGTAGAGACCAGCCTTTAGGAGTAGATAAGACTCTCCTTTAGAATGGGTGTTTGGATACAAGTCCTTGCAAAGTGCCTGAAAATAGTTTGCTCCTGTCTAATCGAAGTGTGCATCAAATATTTACACTGTAAACTCTTCCTCTTGAGATATCACAAAGGTAAATGACAGCTTAGCCCAGGAGAAATTATTCTAAATTGTACATTGGTTGGCTTCCAGGAAATGATGTTTTTCTATATCAACATCCTGTAAAACACACAGCCCCACAGAACCTCGGAATTAAATTGAATGTCAAATGCACACTAAACAAGGTCGGGCATGGTGGCTCACGCCTGTAATCCCAGCACTTTGGGAGGCCTAGGCAGGTGGCTCACCTGAGGTCGGGAGTTTGAGACCAGCTTGACCAACATGGTGAAACCCCATCTCTACTAAAAATACAAAAATTACACTGGGCGCTGCACTGTGGGAGGCTGAGGTGAGCAGATCACCTGAGGTCAGCAGTTCAGGACCAGCCTGGCCAACATGGTGAAACCCCGTCTCTACTAAAAAAAAATACAAAAATTAGCCAGGCGTGGTAGTGGGTGCCTGTAATCCCAGCTACTTGGGAGGCTGAAACAGGAGAATCGCTTGGACCCAGGAGGTGGAGGTTGCAGTGAGCCAAGATCATACCATTGCACTGCAACCTGGGAATAGAGCAAGACTCCATCTCTAAATAAATAAATAAATAAATAAATAAATAAATAAATAAATAAGGACCCTTCCTCCCTGCTGACCCTTGACATCATGCCCAAGCATGGACAAGGCATGGGGAAGAGATAGTCCACGGGACCTTCTGGGGAAAGATGAAGAAAGCAGCTCCCAGCTGCCCTCACAGCTAGGGTAGTGGTACCCGTTGTGGCATACTTTTTGCTGGGAGATGAAACTTCCCACAAAGTGTCCAAGGGGGCCAGAAAATAATGACATGTTCTAGACTGAGCTTCTCTTCCCACAGTAAGGATTCAAGTAAAAGCCAGCCCCTGAATAGGGCTTCAGGCAGAAATCCCTGCTCTGGACTCTCAGGTGGGTGACCGAATTGATAACTCTGTGTCCAATATGGTAGCCACTCTTCCTCAACTGCACCCGCCATGTTTCAAGGGCTCGATAGCCACATGGGGTTAGTGGTTACTGTCCTGGACAGCACAGATACAGAGTGTTTCCATTACTGCAGCAAGAGGTCTAGACAGCACTGATTTCTACAGTGTTGGGGGGAGGGGAGTAAACCTGGTTCCAGTAACATCATTTTCTTTTTTTTTTTTTTTTTTTTTGAGATGGAGTCTCACTCCCCACCCAGGCTGGAGTGCAGTGGCACAATCTCAGTTCCCTGTAGCCTCCGTCTCCTGAGTTCAAGTGATTCTCCTGCCTCAGCCTCCCTAGTAGCTGGGATTACAGGCACCCACCACCACGCCTGGCTAATTTTTGTATTTTTAGTAGAGACAGGGTTTCACCATGTTGGTCAGGCTAATCTTGAACTCCTGACCTCAGGCAATCCATCCACCTCGGTCTCCCAAGGTGCTGGGATTACAGACGTGAGACACCTCACCTGCCCAGAGCATCATTTTCTGTTTAAACAAAGGCACAGAGGGGACATGGCAGTGGCCCAGGGTTCCTGTGCTGCAGCTGCTGCTGACGGTAAAGTGTCCCCCATGTTGGCTGGGGACCAAGCTCACCCGTCCACACAGCTGTACCTCAAGCCTGAGAGGCCCTGTGGACAGCTTGCTGGGAGAACCATGGGTGAGGGCATAGGCCAGCATCTCACCTACCTCTTCACCTTAAATTTTTAAAATTTTTTTGGGTACATAGTAGGTATATGTATTTATGGGGTACATGAGATGTTTTGATAGAGACACACAATGTGTAATAGTCACATCACAGAAAATGGGCTATCCATCCCCTCAAACATTTGTTCTTTTTGTTACAAACAGGCCATTTATATTCTTTTAGTTATTTTTATTTTTGAGATGGAGTTTCACTCTGTCACTGAGGCTGGAGTGCAGTAGGCAAGATCTTGGCTCACTACAACCTCTACCTCCTGAGTTCAAGAAATTCTCCTGTCTCAGCCTCCCGAGTAGCTGGGACTACAGGTGCCTGCCACCACGCCCAGCTAATTTTTATAATTTTGGTAGAGATGGGGTTTCACCATGTTGGCCTGACCCACAAGGTGGGTCTCAAACACCCACCTCAGCCTCACAAAGTGCTGAGATTACAGGTGTGAGCCATCACACCTGGCCATCTTTTGGTTATTTTTAAATGTACAATTAAATTATTATTGACTTTAGTCACCCTGTTGCAGTATCAAATACTAGGTCTTTTTTTGTGTGCTCATTAACCATCCCCACCACCCCCTCCCTATCCTTCTTCCCAGCCTCTGGTAGGCATCCTCCTATTCTCTATCTCCAAGAGTTCAACCGTGAACGTGCTGTCTTTCTGTGCCTGGCTTATTTCACTTAACTCCTGCCTCGCCTTGTCTTGGCCAGCATGGTCTGCGCAGGAGTGAGCTGGAGCGCCATGCATGCTGGGCTCCCACAAGTTCCACCCTCAACACTGTCCTTGGGCCGGGTGCAGTGGCTCACGCCTGTAATCCCAGCACTTTGGGAGGCTGAGGTGGGTGGATCACAAGGTCAGGAGATCGAGACCATCCTGGTCAACATGGTGAAACCCTGTCTCTACTAAAACTACAAAAATTAGCCGGGCGTGGTGGCAGATGCCTGTAATCCCAGCTACTTGGGAGGCTGAGGCAGGAGAATCACTTGAACCCGGGAGGCGGAGGTTGCAGTGAGCTGAGATTACGCCATTGCACTCCAGCCTGGGTGACAAGAGTCAAACTCCATCACAAAATAAATAAACAAACACACACTCTCCTTGATGGTCTACCCAACCGAAGTCAGACAGTTCCAGCCCCCACCAGCCCTCCTCCATCCCCCTGCACCTTCCCGTCCGAACCCTTGTCATCCACAGGGGCTACCTGGTTTATGATGGATGTTGCCTAATGAGCCACATTTGGAGGTCACTTTGCTCAGGTCAACTGGTTTGTAGACTATTTGCACCTGGAGATGAGAGAAGAGGAGCGAGAAGAGACAGAGGAAGACAGAGAGACAAAGAGGATAAAATGGAATTATTTTATTAAGGGTGTAACACAATGAGAAGCAGCTGTGGAAGCCCAGGCCCTGCTCGGACAGTGGTTCCCAGCTGCCATGAGGAGCGCGCCCTACTCAGGGTAGAAAAATGTGTTGTCGAAATTCTGCCAACCCTGCCCCAGGGGAGCTAGGTCTTCACAAAAGGACTGTGGGATTGGAGCATCTTCAATCCCTGCACAACAAAAGAGCCTCTGCGAAAAACAGAGACCCGTCATCATTGTACAAGGCCCAGACGTTTGTCTAGCAAACTTTTAAGTATAAAAAAGTCACTCCCTTGCCTGACATGAAATTGACAGACCACAATCAGACCTGAAGAAAAACGTGTTCACTACAATGAGCATGCACAGAATCTGAAAACTCCTGCTGGAAAGCAGGAGCGGTATCTGCTGGGCCTCGGAGAGGGGAGGTACAGCGAGGGTCAATGAGTGGACTTTATTCCAGGAAAAGCTTCCACGGACCCTGGAAAGCACTAGAGCGAAGACAAGCACTAGAGCAAGCAGGACCCAGCAGAATTCAGCAGCTCGGGTGAGAGCTGGTGGGCGCCAGCACGCTCAGTGTCCTGGTCTGTTCCATCTTTACCAACAGGAGCAAAGCGACACCAACAGGGTAGGCAGGCGGCACAGCAGAAATCAACACATGTAACGTCTCAGCAAGCTTGAGTGGACGCAGACACACAGGGGGAGGCCTGTGAATTCCAGGGCACTGCTCCCTTGGGGATCACGGGCCTGAGCTGCCAGCTGGTCTCATCCCAAGAACCAGCTGGGGGGCGGGGCGCACCCCATGGAGACTCCGCAGTGGCAGACAGACAGGTCCCCAGGAGATAGGCCTCTATGAAGCCATGGCTGTTCGAGGGGCCTAGGGGGCAGGTCACTGACATTCCTGAAGTCCCCAGGGCCTCCAGCAGTGGCCTTGCCTGGGGTTATCAGAAGGGGCACGGGGGCAGCCACCTCCCACCTAACCAGTCGGCTCCGGAGGAAACCTGCCCTGGAGCTTCCCCGGGAGACAGCTGGCTTCGTGGCTGGAGATGGGTTTATCAAGACCACCAAAAATCAAGCGGTGGGGGGAGGGGATGGTTTCTCCTTCTACTTGGGTCTCAACTGGAACCATCCCAAATTATTTTAGTTAATGTCAGCTGGCATCTGCTCTTTATGGATTGGTAGTTAACTGGGGCAGAAATGGCTGCAGCCGGTGTGTGTCAGGGCAGACATGATCTGAGTCAAGGATGTGGGAGGGTGGGGAGGATGGATGGCAGGCGCCTGGGGTAGAGAGAGCTGTGTGCTGAAGCTGGCGCCGAAGGGGTGGGCCAGGGCCAAGAAGTGGGAGGACACGCTGGTATGACCACGGCCTCCTGCCCTCTGTCCTCGGGGAGGAAACTCGTGAGGTGGGGGAGGGGAGCTGGGACAAGGACCAGGGAGCAGCCAGAAAAGAGAGGAGTGGATGGCAGTGGGAACCAGGGCGGTGGTCAGGATGCCCAGGGAGGGAGGACAGCAGGCCCTGCAGAGTTTCCAGGGCCCAGCCAGGGGCAGAAGGGCCCCAGATGGAGAAGGAGCAGGGCCGGCCAGCTGGGAAGTGGCCCCTGGGCTGAGGAGAGGATGGGGCCCAGGCCGGGGATCCAGCGGCCCCCCTACCCCAGACGCCGGGGGCTGGCATCTCTTCTCACTAGAAGGGCTTCCTGTGAAGGGGCTCAGAGGGCGGTGCTCAGCCCGGGACATCTGGTGGCTCTCTGCCAGGTCATGGGCTAGCCCTCAGACAAGCGTAGCACAGGATGGCCCTGTGGTATGGGGAGGGCCCCCAAGGAGGTCCCGGATGTCCTGGGTACTGTAGCGTCTTTGGGCATCGGCTGCCAGAGGGGTTGGCCACACAGCCCGTGCACTCTCCCCCCCCAGCTCCGCCTCAGCAGCACAACCTCCACCAGCCCATCGGACTCAGCCTTAACCAGAAAGCGCATGGCCTCCCTCCTCAGGCCGAGCCCACTTCAAGGAAGCCGAGATCCAGGATCAAAACTCAAAACAGCCAAAACAGCAACCCCAGGAAAAAGGGCTGGGGCGGCACACACCTCTTCGGTCCCCTCACACCGGACAAACGGGGGGTGGGGGGCAGGTTGGGGGGTGACAGGAGAGCAGGCGCGGGGACAGAGGAGACACTTAGCAGACACCGGTGAGGAAGCGTTAGTCAAGCCCATGCAGCAGCCGCAGGGCAAGCGCTGCCACTGTGGGACTGCCGGGGCCTGAGGGGCAGAAGCCGGGATCCAGGTGCTCAGGGCAGGAAGCAGCAGCTCACTGCAAGAATAAACCCTCTGGGCTGGATGCGGGCGCAGGCCCAGGCCAGGCATCTTCTGGTGAGAGCCCGCCCCCGGGCCACAGCCGTCTCCGGGAACTCCTGGCAGGGCCAGGTGGTTGCTCTCAAAAAACGCCTCCCTCGGGGTGGACCCTGCGGGTCTCATACTTCCAGCTCCCCAGGGCGTTAAAAGTTTGCTTATAGCTGACCAAGAGAGCTGGTGGGAGAGGGCCCATAGGTGCCCAGTGGACATGGACCAGCCAGAGGACGGGTCAGTGGAACTTGAGGATCTGAGTCCCGATTTTCAGGGAGACACTCCACGGAGGACATGGAGTCCCCGGGGACATGTAGAAGAGGCTAAATCTATTTATTTTAAAATTATTGTTTTCTGAGACAAAGTCTTACTCTGTTCCCAGGCTGAAGTGCAGTGATGTGAGCATGGCTCATCGCAACCTCCACCTCCTAGACTCAGGCGATCCTCCCACCTCAGCCTCCCAAGTAGCTGGGACTATAGGTGTGTACCACCACACCTGACTAATTTTTAATTTTTTGTAGAGACCGGGCCTCACTGTTTCCCAGGCTGGTCTTGAACTCCTGGGCTCAAGTGAACCTCCCACCTTTGTCTCCCAAAGTGTGGGGATTACAGGCGTGAGCCACCGCTCCTGGCCAGAGACAGCCAAATTTAAAAGGGCCAAAACCAGCATTTGTCTGCCAAACCTCAACGCAGGACAGAGGGACCTGTCACACTTTGGTCTGGCTCTCTGCATCTGGAGTCTCTACCTGAGGATGGTGCAGGCTGAACACACGGCTCTTCCCTTGAACATGCAGGAGGCACAGCTGAGCAGGACATAAGCCTTCAGTGTCCCCTCATCAGAACCAACAGGCCATCTGTCCACAGTGGAGCTGGAGCCACTCAACGTGAACCTGCCCAGGAGTTGGGGAGGTGGCAGCAGCCCTGGCTCAGGTGCCACCACCTTCAGCCCAACTTCCAATTGGGGTTCTTGGGGATAGGCTGGGTGGGAGTGGAGAGACACCTTGACGGGTCTCAGCAGGGGCAGGAGAGAGGGTCGGTCATCTGTCCTATTCTGCCCATGCAGCCTGGGGCACCCAGAAATGCTGGGACACCTACCCTCCCAGAACATAAGGGGCTTCTGGGCACAGTGGACATGTGGGGGGATGTGGAGAGCTGAGCCACATTCACCTGGGGGGCACGGCCAGATCCTGAGAGCCCAGAAAAGATTTATTCTGTGCAGTGTCTCGCAGGTCTACGCACTCATGCCACTTCCTAAAAAACCAAGCCACAGCACGGCGCATGGGACGTGTGAAGGTACTCACACTGCCGCCTCCCGGGACGTGTTTGATATTATCCTTTGAGCCACACTTGGACTGGACGTTGCTAAGATCCAGCTTCTTATTAATTATCTGCACCTTTGATAGCCAGAAAAAAGGATAAGTGAACGCCACCCAGGACCCACCTGCTTGCTTCCAAGGACGTCTCCACTTTCAGACTTGGCAGGGGCAGCCTGGGGAGTGGGAGAAGTTTGAGTCACACCCAGGGGAGCTGAAGGGACAGAAGAGAGGGCTGCCCCGAAGGTATTCCAGAACTGTCAGTGATTCCAAGCGGGCTTTAGGAAGCTGGGATTGCAGGATCTCAGGGGCAGTTACTCACTTCTCGGAAAGATGGCATCGTGAGGCCTGAACCCCAGAGGGGCACATGCTCCAACCTGGGTCTGGTGAAAACCGTGTTCGGCCACACTGCCAAGTAATAAGCAGCTCCCCGCATCTCCACTCACACCCAGCTAGACCCACTGGAACATTCCCAGAGAACTTCCCGCAGCTGTTCTCACGCTGTCAGGCATTGGAATCACCTGTGGATTTTTAAAATCTCGGGCCCCTGCTTGGACCTACAATTAGAATCTGGAGGCGTCTGGCTTCAGTCTCGCTAGTTTTGAAAAGCTTCCCTGGGGATTCTGATGCATAGCCAGGTTTGAGAGGCCCTGACCCTGCAGGCAGGACCCAGGTCGCTTTGTAGGGAAGGCAAACGCAGGGTGTCCCCTCTGTTCAAGGGCTCCGTCCCTGCAGGGGGCAATGCCGCCGCCGCCTCCTCTCGTCCACCCCCCAGCCCTTTCCACCTACAATCCCACCAGGCGCTTAACGGAAACTGAGCAAATGCTCCCGTGGGGCTTTTTCTCAGCTCTTCCATAAGCGGGGGTGACCTGGATGGGTCCCCCATGACTGCATTTCTGGAAGGTTCTTTCTGCAGACACCAGGGGAGTGTGAAAATATCAGTGTTTTAATAAGAAACGATTTTTACCAGTTTGCAAAAAACTACGAAATAGGCAACCGTGGTTTAGGGAGTTGAAAAACTGGACATTTTGTCTGCCAGATCAGTGGGAATCTTCCTCCCCTGGTGACCTTCCCCTCAGGAACTCTAACAGTGGAAACAGTGTGCTTTGGGTTTTTTTCCTTTTTGAGACAGGGTCTCGTTCTGTCACCCAGGCTGGAGTGCAGTGACGCCATCACGGCTCACTGCAGCCTGGACCTCCCCAGGCTCAGGTGATTCTCCCACTTCAGCCTGGCAAATCTATGTATTTTTTGTAGAGATAAGGTCTATTTGTTCATGATGGTCTAAAATTCCTGGGCTCAAGCAATCAGCCCACCTCGGCTTCCCAAAGTCCTGGGATTATAAGTGTGAGCCGCTGCACCTGTAATCTTAGCCCTTTGGTTTTTATTCATCTCAGATGTAAATAGTTGCCAATAATTCCCAGTGAAGGACCAGCTGTGCCAAGGCCATTTCTGAAATCTTGAAAACGGCATCGAGACCTCAGGGGCTCTTTTGAGAATGCCGGGTGGAGGCCAGTGCTCCGGAGGCCCCAGCAGCCAGGGCTGAGGCTGTGTCCGGGGTCAGGGCTCCAGCCTGGCTTCTGGTTCATCCCATTTTTCCCCTTAATTTTACTGGTCTGAATCTTAAATGTGAAACAATAGGTAACTAATCTCTTCATAATCTTTTATATTCCTTCAAAAAGACTTATTTTTCTTATAAAATATAATGATTTTGAAAAACAGCTCATCAAAGCAAAAATAAAACCGTTTTCTTCCCACCCCAGCAATCACAACTGCATTTTGCTGCATTTCCTTGAAGTCTCATTTATATATATATAACTATTCCTGTAGACCTATACAGGGCAGAATTACTGTGCACATGCAATTCTGTATCCTGCTCTAAGAAGTAATATATTCTAGGCCAGGTACAGTGGCTCATGCTTGAAATCCCAGCACTTTGGGAGGTGGAGGCAGGTGGATCACCTGAAACCAGGAGTTTGAGACCAGGCTGACCAACATGATGAAACCCTGTCTCTACTAAAAATACAAAAGTTAGCCAGGCATGGTAGCAAGCAACTGTAGTCCCAGCTACTTGGGAGGCGGAGGCTGCTGTGAGCCGAGATTGCGCCACTGCGCTCCAGTCTGGCGACAGAGAAGACTCCATCTCAAAGAAACAAAAACAACAACAAAAGAAGAAGTGCTATCCTATCCTAAGCATTCTCTATGGTCTACAGCAGGCGTCCCCAAACTAAGGCCCGCAGGCCGCATGCGGCCCCCTGAGGCCATTTATCTGGCCCCCTGCTGCACTTCAGGAAGGGGCACCTCTTTCATTGGTGGTCAGTGAGAGGAGCACAGTATGTGGTGACCCTCCAACGGTCTGAGGGACAGTGAACTGGCCTCCTGTGCAAAAAGTCTGGGGACGCCTGGTCTACGGTCATGAGAAGCACTATGTTTAATAACACATCCTGTTCCATTTTGTGAATATTATTCCCCTCTATCCAACACTTGTATTGATTCCACTTTGTACTCCAATCATACAAACAGTCCTGCAGGAGCTGGATTTGATGCAAAGAAAAAAAAATACAAACAGCCTCCCATGAACCTCTTTCTGAAAGGAGCTTTTTCCATACGATGAGTTATTTTCATAACACAGAGTCCTAGAATAGAATTTCTGGGTCAAAGTTATAAATATTCTAAAACCCCTCGGTGCAACTTTCCACATGGCTTTCTAAAAGGGTTGCATGCGCCTTGCCTGTGAACCCTGTGACAGAGCCAGCCTCGCCACACTGCTGCCAGCACCGGCTGTTTACAACATTGTTTTGCTTATTTCTTAGACCACAATAAAAGAAACTTCATTGTTGGCTTATTTTGTGTCTCTCTGATTATGACTGAAATTGCTCCTTTACCCCCTTTTTGCTGACAGGTGTATTTTTTCTAACATACACATATTTACATTTTATTTTTATTATTTTTTAATTATTATTTTTGGAGACAGAGTCTCGCTCTTGATGCCCAGGCTGGAGTGCAGTAGCACAATCTCAGCTCACTGCAACCTCCACCTCCCAGGTTCAAGTGATTCTCCTGCCTCAGCCTCCTGAGTAGCTGGGATTACAGGTGCCCACCACCATGTGGGGCTAATTTTCTTGTATTTTTAGTAGAGACAGGGTTTCACTATGTTAGTCAGGCTAGTCTTGAACTTCTGACCTCAGGTGATCCACCGGTCTTGGCCTCCCAAAGTGCTGGGATTACAGGCGTGAGCCAGGGCACCCCGTCTTACTTTTTATTATTTTTAAAACTAGAGATAGGGTCTCACTCTGTCACCCAGGCTGGAATGCAGTGGCGTCATTGTAGCTCATTGCAGCCTTAAACTCCTGGGCTCAAGCAATCTTCCTGCCTCTGTCTCCCAAGTAGCTGGGACTACTGGTATGTGCCACCATGCCCGGCTAATTTTTAAAAATTCCTTGTGGCGATAGGGTCTCGCTATGTCACCCAGGCCGGTCTCAAACTCCTGGGCTCAAGTGATTCTCCCACCTCAGCCTCAGAAAGCACTGGGATTACAGGCATGAACCACAGTGCTCAGCCTACATTTTAATTAATTAATTTTTTTTTATAAGTACGTTTTACTTATTTTTAATAATTACTTTTTTTTTTTTTTTTTTTTTTGAGACAGAGTTTCAGTCTTGTTGCCCAGGCTAGAGTGCAAGGGTGCAATCTCAGCTCACTGCAACCTCTGCCTCCTGGATTCAAGCGATTCTCCTGCCTCAACCTCCTGAATAGCTAGGACTACAAGCGCATGCCATCACGCTCAGCTAATTTTTTTTTTTTGTATTTTTAGCAGCAACGGAGTTTCATCATGTTGGCCAGGATGGTCTTGATCCCTTGACCTCATGATCCACCCAACTCAGCCTCCCAAAGTGTTGGGATTACAGGCATGAGCCACTGCGCCCAGCCTGTTTTATACATTTTTTATTTTAAATTTATATGGGTACCTAGTGGGTATATGTACTTGTGGGGTACACGAGATATTTAGATACAGACAATGTGTAATAATCACATCGGGGTGAGTGGGGCCTCCCTCACCTCAAGCATTTCTCGTTTCTTGTGTTATGAACATTCCAATTATACTCTTTCAGTTGTTTTCAGATGTAACAGAGATATAAACGTACTATAAAACTGCTGCTGACGGCAGTCACCCTGTTGTGCTATCCAATATGAGATCTAGTCATGGAACTATGTTCTGGTACCCATTAGCCATCCTTACTTCCTCCCCACTCCCTGCTCCCCTTCCCAGGCTCTGCTAACCATCCTTCTATCCTCTTTTTTTATTTTTTATTTTTTTTTTAAGACGGGGTTTCACCATGTTGGTCAGGCTGGTCTTGAACTCCCGACCTTAGGTGATCTGCCTGCCTTGGCCTCCTAAGTGCTTGGATTACAGGTGTGAGCCACTATGCCTGGCCCATCCTTCTATTCTCTATTTCCGTGAATTTTTAAAGTTTTAGCTCCCACAAATGAGTGAGAACATGTGAAGTCTGTCCTTCTGTGCCTGGCTTAGTTCACGTGATATAATGTCCTCCAGTTCCATCCGTGTGCTTTCAAACATCAGGATCTCATTCTTTTTCATGGCTGAATAGTACTCCATTGTATATATGTGCCACATTTTCCTTCTCCATTCGACTGCTGATGGACACGTGGGTTGCTTCCAAATCTTGCCTGTTGCGAATAGCGCAGCAAAGAACACAGGACTGCCTGTATCCCATTTTTAGATGCTCACATTTTTCTTTTGTAACAAGTCCTCCTCTGGTGTTTAAATGTACAAACCACTCCTCCTTTAGAGCTGGGCAAACCTCTGATGCCACATCAACTTTCTTGCCCACCATCCCCTCATTAAGGACAAGGAGGCCATTTGAAGTCCATGGAGGTTCTGCAACTTTCTGAGGTCAGACGCAGCCATGGAAGAATTTAGATCTGGGTGTTTCTGTAGCTGCAGGTTATGTATGTGAGAACAAAGTTGTCCTGGCTGTTCTTAAGGCAACATCCTCATAAACCTATAAAAACAAGACTTCTTTTGCTGAACACTGAAATTCTCTCCTGCCAGCAAGGAGGCA